GAAAGATACTGGCAGGCTGGGGTAGGTGTGCTGACGATATTGGAATGGTCATGTAGTGACAACACTGGTTTCAAATATCTGTCTGGGAGAGTATGTGTAGACTCGGGTATCCGTTCAGAAAGATACTGGCAGGCTGGGGTAGGTGTGCTGACGATATTGGAACGGTCATGGTTATAGACTGGTGGAAAATGTATTTTCTCGTTTATAAATATAGTAAGATGTTTAGGTGTCGAGTAATGTTCACAAATAATGTTCAGATGTTGGTTAAGACGAATGGAATATTAAGATGTCAGTTTAGACGGATGGAATGTTCAGTTTAGAGGGATGGAATGTTCAGGGGTCGGTTCAGAAGGATGGAATATTTATGTGTCGGTTTAGACGGATGGAAAGTTTAGATGTCAATTTAGGCAGAGGAATGTTCAGATCTCGGTTTTGAAGGATGAAATGTTTATGTGTCATTTTAGACGGATAGATTGTTCAGATGTCGGTTTTCAACGATGGAATGTTCAGGTGTCGGTTTAGACGGATGGAATGTTCAGGTGTCGATTTCAAGGATGGAATGTTTATGTGACATTTTAGACGGATGGGCAGTTGGTGGATTGTTTAGGTAATGATTTAGGCAGACTAAGTGTTCGTTAAAAGTTCCTTGTGGTTTATGATATATGTGGCCTCCCCAAGGGAGAGAGATCCTCACATGTGATTGAGATATACACAGATGAGATCAGATATATATATATATGGAATGTTCAGATCTGAGTTGGGGCAGACAGATGAAGAGGTAAAGTTTTGGGTGAGACATATAGATAGAATGTTCAGATCTCACTTGGAGCAGTCAAATGGAGTGGCAAAGGTTTGGATGAGACATATAGATGGAATGTTCAGATCTCACTTGGAGCAGTCAAATGGAGTGGCAAAGGTTTGGGTGAGACATATAGATGGAATGTTCAGATCTCACTTGGAGCAGTCAAATGGAGTGGCAAAGGTTTGGATGAGACACATAGATAGAATGTTCAGATCTCACTTGGAGCAGTCAAATGGAGTGGCAAAGGTTTGCATGAGACATATAGATGGAATGTTCAGGTCTGAGTTGGGTCAGTCAGATGAAGTGGTAAAGTTTTAGGTGAGACATATAGATGGAATGTTCAGATCTTAGTTGGGTCAGTCAGATGAAGTGGTAAAATTTGGGTGAGAGATACAGATGGAATGTTCAGATCTTAGTTGTGTTAGTCAGATGAAGTGATAATGTTTTGGGTGAGACATATAGATGGAATGTTCAGATCTCACTTGGAGCAGTCAAATGGAGTGGCAAAGGTTTGGATGAGACATATAGATGGAATGTTCAGATCTGAGTTGGGGCAGACAGGTGAAGTGGAAAAGTTTTGGGTGAGACACATAGATAGAATGTTCAGATCTCACTTGGAGCAGTCAAATGGAGTGGCAAAGGTTTGCATGAGACATATAGATGGAATGTTCAGGTCTGAGTTGGGGCAGTCAGATGAAGTGGTAAAGTTTTGGGTGAGACATATAGATGGAATGTTCAGATCTTAGTTGGGTCAGTCAGATGAAGTGGTAAAATTTGGGTGAGAGATACAGATGGAATGTTCAGATCTTAGTTTGGTCAGTCAGATGAAGTGGTAAAGTTTTGGGTGAGAGATATAGATGGAATGTTCAGATCTGAGTTGGGGCATAGATAGAATGTTCAGATCTCACTTGGAGCAGTCAAATGGAGTGGCAAAGGTTTGCATGAGACATATAGATGGAATGTTCAGATCTGAGTTGGGTCAGTCAGATGAAGTGGTAAAGTTTTGGGTGAGACATATAGATGGAATGTTCAGATCTGAGTTGGGTCAGTGAGAGAAGTGGTAAAGTAATCTTAGTTTGAAGTGGTAATGTTTTGGGTGAGAGATATAGATGGAATGTTCAGATCTTAGTTGGGTCAGTCAGATGAAGTGGTAAAGTTTTGGGTGAGACATATAGATGGAATGTTCAGATCTGAGTTGGGGCAGTCAGATGAAGTGGTAAAGTTTTGGGTGAGAGATATAGATGGAATGTTCAGATCTTAGTTGGGTCAGTCAGATGAAGTGGTAAAGTTTTGGGTGAGACATATAGATGGAATGTTCAGATGGAATGTTCAGATATAGATGGAATGTTCAGTCAGTCAGATGAAGTGGTAAAGTTTTGGGTGAGACATATAGATGGAATGTTCAGATCTTAGTTGGGTCAGTCAGATGAAGTGGTAAAGTTTTGGGTGAGACATATAGATGGAATGTTCAGATCTTAGTTGGGTCAGTCAGATGAAGTGGTAAAGTTTTGGGTGAGAGATATAGATGGAATGTTCAGATCTTAGTTGGGTCAGTCAGATGAAGTGGTAAAGTTTTGGGTGAGAGATATAGATGGAATGTTCAGATCTTAGTTGGGTCAGTCAGATGATGTGGTAAATTTTTGGGTGAGACATATAGATGGGATGTTCAGATCTGAGTTGGGTCAGTGAGATTAAGGTGTAATGTTTTGGGTGAGAGATATAGATGGAATGTTCAGATCTGAGTTGGGGCAGTCAGATGAAGTGGTAATGTTTTGGGTGAGACATATAGATGGAATGTTCAGATCTGAGTTGGGGCAGTCAGATGAAGTGGTAAAGTTTTGGGTGAGACATATAGATGGAATGTTCAGATCTGAGTTGGGGCAGTCAGATGAAGTGGTAAAGTTTTGGGTGAGACATATAGATGGAATGTTCAGATCTGAGTTGGGGCAGTCAGATGAAGTGGTAAAGATTTGGGCGAGAGATATAAATGTAATGTTCAGATCTTAGTTGTGTCAGTCAGATGAAGTGGTAATGTTTTGGGTGAGAGATATAGATGGAATGTTCAGATCTTAGTTGGGTCAGCCAGATGAAGTGGTAAAGTTTTGGGTGAGACATACAGATGGAATGTTCAGATCTGAGTTGGGGCAGACAGGTGAAGTGGTAATGTTTTGGGTGAGAGATATAGATGGAATGTTCAGATCTTAATTGTGTCAGTCAGATGAAGTGGTAATGTTTTGGGTGAGACATATAGATGGAATGTTCAGATCTGAGTTGTGTCAGTCAGATGAAGTGTCAATGTTTTGGGTGAGAGATATAGATGGAATGTTCAGATCTTAGTTGTGTCAGTCAGATGAAGTGGTAAAGTTTTGGGAGTGACATATAGATGGAATGTTCAGATCTTACTCTGGGCAGCAGATAAAATAGTAATGTTTTGTGTGAGACTTATGGATTTAATGTTCATATCTTAGTTAGGTCAGTCAGATGAGATGGTAAAGTTTTTCGGTGAGAGATATAGATGGAATGTTCAGATGTTTGCTGTGCCAAACAAAGGGAATGTTTAGACTGTTTGTAAAAGACAGATTGGTGACAAGATTACAGACTTGACACAGATGCACATTTATGCCTGTTCAGTAAACGCAGATCTCTTTAATGTGTCAATTTCCTGTAGAAAGTAAATCTTGGAACAAATCAGTCAATTGCCTACTTTAAACTATGTACCCTTTCACACATCAACAAAAAGCCCACAATGTTGTTATTGACAAACTTCATACAGTACTGTTATATGTCTCAAAATGCACACCATCTACCTCTCGTGTAGTATATATGCCTAGGTATTCGTGTCGAATATATTTACCGAAAATATGCAACATACAAATTATTTACTTTTGGAAATATTTTACACACATATCGATTACAAATACAAATGATACAGGCTTTCTTTCGCTGCGTACTTTAACAATAATAGTCCAAACAACACACCCAGTATTAAAATATTTCATTTTATACACAATTACCCAGGGATTTACCCCTGTTAATGTGATACCTTAATATTATTTCTCTGCATTTAATTTTTTCGAGAAGTTCCCCGTGCTCGTCTGACAGGAGATAGAGGGGAACGAGTACAGGTTAGGAGAAACTGTGTAATGGACAAAGCCTTATCTGTTACGTTTCTTGTTTGAAAACTCCATTGTGGGCGACAGGGTAGCCTTATACACTTAACTTAACGCTAGGTGTTTGTATGTCGTTGTGGTAGTCCACAATAGCTATACACTATCTATAGGAGCATCGTGGAACTGTCATGGGTTGACTGTATATTACATCGTCTGACGTGTGGGGGAATTCACCTGCTGTACACTCTGGGAATTCTCCAATGTTCATGTTGTGATTGCTGCAACAATTTCACGCTGTCAACTATAAGTACAATTGTATACAAAAACTACGTAAGCGAAATAAAATACGCGTGGTCCATACAGATACAAAATACTGACAGATTGGCAAAGTGATGAGGAATGGAATCTAAGGATTTACTCATATATAGGTAAACAAGTGATTTCTTTAAGTGCATGAGCAATGAGCAAAAAATGCATAAAAGTTGGAGTCCAGATATTCGTGCTTGTCAAAACTTCTTTGCATATATGCATGACTACAGAGTGAGAGATGAGAGAGAAGGCGTGAGGAGGAGGATGTGTGTGTGTGTGTGTTAGTGTGTGTGTTGTGTGTCTGTGTCTGTCTGTGTTTGTGTGAAGTGGTGACTGAATTTGACAAAGCAGGAGTGTTAGGTTGTGTTTAGTCGGCGGTACTTACGACACTACATTTAAATTACATGGATACTGTTTGCTCTAATTAGTTATGTACACAGTGAATAATTATAATCGTAAGTTAAACTCTCCATCTTACTGAAAATACAAAAATGATAGAAACTCACAAGACAACCAATCCTTGCACCACCAACACTGAAGTCATAAATTTTCCTCTCCACACTACTGAAGTCAGCTGCACTGTTGTGGGGATGTATTTTCGAATGATGCATATATCTTGTCGTACGCGTGTACATACTGCATGTCATGGCAGCGCATCAAGGATATACCAACTGTCATGCAAGCATGCTTCATGTCAACCCATGACTGCACAACCGTACAACTGTAACGGGGTAAGATATGCATTTGTAAACAATCCAAGAAAACAAACACGCACTTACCAGTCTGTAAATCTTGCTAGGATTCGCGTTGAAACAATCAACACACTGCCGCATTAATTACGCATTGTCCTCAATAACAGGTGACGAGGCAAACACGGTTTGCCGTCACTTGTGAGTGACGTGAACTCCGACATTAGCATGATTTACTATCGCATATCAGGATGAAATAGACACAACGCAACACGTGACTCGGACTTCGCTTTACTTCAAGCCGACCACGCTGGCCAATAGCGTTGCGCTAGCTCCTAACACACTTGCCCTCCGAAGGGAAAAAAAGATGTTTTTCAAGTTACATACACCGATTTTGAAAGAAAATGTTTCCGCGACGATTCTTCAAATTAGAGCGCCGCCCGATATGCATGTTTCTTGATATTTTCTTGTTTGGCTTGGCAGATTGTGCCTCCGCCCACTCGTAAGCTGCGCCGGTTTGACACAGGGTCACGTTGACCTGGGCACAGCAAGGTGAAGGCCGAAATAGCATTTAGACAAGCAGAAGGCATGATAAGTGGGAATGAGGTAATAACGGGATCTCGATCCATATATTAACATTATGCAATTGGTAAAGGGCGGAACTCATGAATATGCATATAATCTAAAAAGGTAGGCGGACATTGCTGTGAAATATACAGATATATATGCAGCGAGGCGCTGAGGTCGAGCACATTGTATTTTCTCATTAGTAAACAACCGAATGTGAAATAATAACAAAATAACACGTGTGCGGTATATTCTATTACTCAAAAAAAATATTTGTATGATATCATTGTCGATAACTGCTAAATGGAATTCACAAACACATATATAATATGTGTCTACTTGAATTATTCATAAATTGGATTGGACATATATTTTAATGCTCATGCAATCATTAATTCATACAATTTTGCTGATCCTAAGCGGTTGATTATTCTCCATTATTCTGCACGTGCAACCTGGTGTCCAGTGTCTCTGTTCATTTTCTTGATAAAATTTCTAAAAAGTTCAGAAATAAGTTCTAAAAAAGGTTCTAAAAAGTGTAGACCCCTACATCAATGGCTGGCTGTATTTAACTCGACCAGTAACGGTCTTCACTAAAGTACTGATTTAATCGACGTTTTACATGATGAATCAGCCAGTCACGTGTGATTTATGTATGTTTCATGGCATCCAATTTTTACGAATGTTGACAAACCCAGTAACATGTGGTCTATCCTCTCAAATATACACAGCTTAGGGTTGCAGTTCGAACAGTTTTACAAAAATGAATTCATGTTTAAGACTATTTTATATCATGAAACTATCTACACACACACAACCCGTTCGTACACACGAAAACACCCGTACACGGTGTATTCCCAGAGTGCCCCCTGTCTGTTACATAACAACCAAATTCAGGCCACTCCGGGACAACTCGTTAAGAAGGTGTGAATATGTGATGTGCGATACATTTTATACAAATATTCTCAATGATAACATTACAAGTGATGAAATTGCCTCAGCCATAAAGAACCTAAAAAGAAAATATCTCCCCTTTATTATCCTCACTTGTCATAAATGATGTGAAATCGTTTCTTTATAGTAAAGGTTGCACAGGAATCAACTTACAACAAATAGATGAAAATAGTATAACAAGCATGATAAGGTTCATACTCCTCTTATATGCAGACGATGCTGTCCTCGTACGTGATACCCTAGTCTGTCTCACAGTACCTGAACCACATTAATTTCCCTACTGCCAAGCCCTCTGTGCAGTGCTAAAGCCCTAAATAAAGCAAGTCTAGATTTCCTCAGGTTCTGAATCTCTGGTCTCCCTAGGGCTCCTTTTCAATATAAATGGGCTTGTTTGTTACTATCAAAATTATATATATTCAGAGACTAAGCCTTAGTCTAGTGATACCCCAAATGATCTACAACTGTCCCTAAATGCTTTCCATGACTATTGTATACATTGGAAGTTGAAAGTTAATCTGTCTAAAACTAAAATAGTTGTCTTTGGAAGTGTTCCTTTTAAAAATAATAGTCCAACACAGTTGGTAATTAAGCTGATTGGATTAAGAGGGGCAAGTGTGGGAACACTTAAGTGTTCAGGGGCCGCTCTGGGAAGGGTCGTTAACAAGGCGTGAAAACTCAGGGGCAACTGTGGGAAGAGCCACTCCGGGCATAAAGCCCCGTACACACGGCAATTCATCCTCACCCGTAACGCTAGCAATATTTTCTTTGAATTTCAATAATTTCTTTCCCGTGGGAAACTGGACAGATCGTCTTAGTATCGCAACAACCCAAAACGTTAAATATTATAATACGTTCAGTAGTAGAAAATCAAGCGATTTTTAAAAATAAAAACCCCTACCCATATACCGTATTCGCAGGTTCCTATGGCAAGCCGTTTTCACATTTATTACTGATATCTTAAATTGTTTTTTAAAGATATCGTGAATAAAAATTGAATTGAGGATATCATAAATTACTTTCTAATATAATTATGTACAATAGGGGTAGGTATTGCAGAGAATTTTCATATTGCGATGCAAAGCATATATTGCCATATGTATTGCGATATATTGCAAGAAGGGTTTTTTAACAAAAAACTACTTAGAATCGAGTTAATGCTTAATTTATAAGCAAAAAACACAACAAAATCACTATGCTTGATTAAGCTTTAATAAAAACTCTTAATCATGACAAAATAAAAATGGAAATAATATTTTCGCACAAATGAAACAAGGAAAAGAACAATTTAACATCAACACAGTGGTTACTAGTTTTAACTAGTTTCTCCATTCTCAAAAAAAAGCCCAGGGATTTTGGACAGCAACTTGACCTGGTCAGGACATATCAGAAATCACTGGTCATTAATGAGCAAATATTTAAGGCAAGACACGGCACCTTAAATTGACATTTTTGCTTCAATATGTCACAATCGAGATTTTGATTTTTCTTGTATATTTAACACATACGCTACAACGCATTGCTTTCGATATAGAGTCTTTATAATTGATATAAACCCCCTACAAACATAATCAGATGTGTGATAACGTTTAAATATGTGTGTAATCCTACCCTGAGAACACCGAACTTTCACCCCCCAGCAGAGGTGAACCCATAATATATTTCCGTTTTGTTTTTCACACAGACAATGATGATGATGGTGATGATCGATGATGATGGTGATGGTGATGATTTTTGTGATAAATGGTGATGTTTGTCGCAATGGTGTGGTGATGATTGTGGTGGTGATGATGATGATTTTGGTAATGGTGTGGTGATGAAGATGTTGATGACTGTGGCAATTGTGGTGGGAATGATCGTGGTGAAAATTACATTTAACTGGATTGTTCGGTTTGAAGTTGTGTTCTTAATTTTTGATTTCGCAATGTTTTGGATCTGAAAATTAAGAACACAATTAGCGTATCGCAATACGTATCGTTTCAGATCACATTAATCTTCTCAATCCAAACCGAAAAAGACAGTTAATAAGAAACATCAAACGTTCTTAAATCAACTCAGTAATCTCCACCCATGCACTAAACATCACCTGCTTACCACATTAATCATCCACATTCAGTCCAAAACCATTAACCACCTTTCCGACCACATTTTTCCTCTAGATCCAGTCACAAAACATCACCCCTTTCGGACTACATCAATCAAATCCCAGTCACAAAACGTCACCCCTTTCGGACAACATTGATAAATTCCCAGTCACAAAACATCACCTCTTTCGGACTACATCAATCAAATCCGTGTCACAAAACATCACCCCTTTCGGACAACATTAATAAAATCCCAGTCACAAAACAGCACCCCTTTCGGACAACATTAATCCAATCCCAGTCACAAAACATCACCCCTTTCGGACAACATTCATCCAAATTCCAGTCACAAAACACCACCCCTTTCGGACAACATTAATCCAAATCCCAGTCACAAAACATCACCCCTTTCGGACAACATTGATAAATTCCCAGTCACAAAACATCACCCCTTTCGGACAACATTAATAAAATCCCAGTCACAAAACATCACCCCTTTCGGACAACATTAATAAAATCCCAGTCACAAAACATCACCCCTTTCGGTCTACATTAATAAAATTCCAGTCACAAAACATCACCCCTTTCGGACAACATTAATAAAATCCCAGTCACAAAACATCACCCCTTTCGGACAACATTAATAAAATCCCAGTCACAAAACATCACCCCTTTCGGACAACATTAATAAAATCCCAGTCACAAAACATCACCCCTTTCGGTCTACATTAATAAAATTCCAGTCACAAAACATCACCCCTTTCGGACAACATTAATAAAATCCCAGTCACAAAACATCACCCCTTTCGGTCTACCCCTTTCGGTCATCACATTAATAAAAAAATTCCAGTCACTTTCGGACCACATTAATAAAACATCACCCCTTTCGGACAACATTAATAAAATTCCAGTCACAAAACATCACCCCTTTCGGACAACATTAATAAAATTCCAGTCACAAAACATCACCCCTTTCCCCATTTCTTTCGGACAACATTAATAAAATCACCCCTCAGTCACAAAACATCACCCCTTTCGGACAACATTAATAAAATCCCAGTCACAAAACATCACCCCTTTCGGTCTACATTAATAAAATTCCAGTCACAAAACATCACAAAAACATCCCCTTTCGGACAACATTAATAAAATCCCAGTCACAAAACATCACCCCTTTCGGTCTACATTAATAAAATTCCAGTCACAAAACATCACCCCTTTCGGACAACATTAATAAAATCCCAGTCACAAAACATCACCCCTGTCGGACAACATTAATAAAATCCCAGTCACAAAACATCACCCCTTTCGGTCTACATTAATAAAATTCCAGTCACAAAACATCACCCCTTTCGGACCACATTAATTACCTCCATCCAACTGAACAACAACACCCCTTACAAACAACAATTCTCTCCACCCAAATGAAGCAACATCACATCGATTTCGGTGACTAAAAATCCTTTTCCTCAATTTATACAATCTATTTTTGGAGCACGTTTTCTAATTACCGGGCTGAAGGCTTTACGATGACGGTAATCCCTCTGCACCCGTATCTGCTTCCCCAGTCAGATGGTGTCACGGAAATAAAACACATCCATAAAATCACATTTTTATGGTCATGGGGTAAAATTAAGTTTGGGGTCATTAAGTCTAACCTGCCATAACTCCTCCGATCATGCAAGGGTGATGTAAGACGATCTATATAGTTTATTAAACAACACTTGTTGCTTGGACTTTTTACTAGAGTATTACAGTCAGTCAGATATCATTAAAACGGTTAAGGTAGTGTTTTTAAACAGTGTAATGTCGGTGAAAACAAACGTGGCACAGAATTGGTGAGATGAAGGAGGTGATAACAGTTGGCGAGAAAATTTAG